AGTCAGCTTTACAAAGATTGACAAGACTCCCAAGGCAGAAAGGTTAGAATTGGTTCATACTGATGTATGGGGACCATCCCCAGTTCCATCTCTTGCAGGCTCACTATATTATGTCACATTCATCGATGATTCAACAAGGAAGGTGTGGGTTTATTTTCTGAAGAAGAAATCAGAAGTCTTTGATACCTTTAGAAAATGGAAGGCCATGGTGAAAAATGAGACTGGTTTGAAAGTCAAGCGGTTGAGGTCTGACAATGGAGGAGAGTACAAAGACAGTAGATTCAAAGATTTCTGCGCAAACAATGGGATCAAGATGGAGACAACTGTTCCATAACACCACAGCAGAATGACGTAGCAGAACGCATGAACAAAACTCTGAATAAACGTGCCAGAAGCATGAGGATACATGTCGGATTGTCCAAATTGCTATGGGCTGAAGCTATCAACACTGCAGCTTACCTGATCAACCGTGGGCCCTCAGTTCCCTTGGATGTCGGAATACCAGAGGAAGCTTGGAGCAAGAAAGAAATAAACCTTTCACACTTAAGAGTGTTTGGTTGTATTTCTTATGTACACATAAACTCTGTTGAAAGAAGTAAACTTGATGCCAAGTCCAAAAAATGTGTCTTTGTTGGTTACGGTGGTGATGAGTTCGGTTACCGGTTTTGGGACTACGAAAATCGAAAGATCATCGGAAGCAGAGACATCATTTTCAATGAAAATGTGATTTACAAAGACAGGTCAACCGCAGAATCGAGTAATACCGAAGCTGAAACAAAGGAATTTGCTAAGTTCGAGGAGATTTCTGGAAATGATGTTCAGATCAATCCTGAAGCAGTTCAAAAAGAACCACGTACACCAGAACTGAGACGCTTCTCCAGAATTCCTAAACCAACCCAACGTTATTCGCCTTCTTTGCACTACTTGTTGTTGACTGATAATGGTGAACCAGAGTGCTATGATGAAGCAATGCAGGTGGAGGATTCAGTCAAGTGGGAGTCTTCCATGAAAGATGAGATGGACTCGCTTATGTCAAATCAGACGTGGGAATTATCTGAATTACCACCAGGTAAGAAAGCGCTCCACAACAAGTGGATTTACAGGATCAAAGAAGAGCACGATGGGAGCAAACGCTACAAAGCAAGATTGGTAATCAAAGGTTTTCAGCAAAAAGAAGGTATTGACTACAATGAAATTTTCTCTCCAGTCGTAAAACTGTCTACAATCAGACTAGTGTTGAAAGTTGTAGCTGCAGAGAATTTACATCTTGAGCAGTTAGATGTAAAGACAACTTTCCTTCATGGTGATTTGGAGGAAGAAATCTATATGAGGCAGCCAGAAGGCTTCATAGAGGCAGACAAGAAAAACTTGGTATGCAGGTTGAAGAAGAGCTTGTATGGTTTAAAACAAGATCCTAGACAGTGGTACAAGAAGTTCGATAACTTCATGAGTAGTAGTGGTTTTACCAGATGCCAAGCAGATCATTGTTGCTATATCAAGAAGTTCGACAATAGCTTCATTATTATACGTTGATGACATGCTCATTGCAGGCTCAGATATGCAAGAGATTATAAACTTGAAGCAAAAATTGTCGAAGTAGTTTGCTATGAAAGATCTGGGCACTGCAAAGCAGATTCTTGGGATGAAGATCAAGAGAGACACAAAGTCGGGGACTTTGATGTTATCACAAGCTGAGTACATCAACAATGTACTCTCAAGGTTCAACATGCAAAATGCTAAACCAGTAAGTACACCTTTAGGTGTTCATTTCAGACTCTCCAAAGACCAATCACCCAAGACGGAGGAAGAACGTGCAGACATGGTGAAGGTGCCGTATGCCTCAGCAATTGGAAGTCTGATGTATGCCATGGTTTGTACCAGACCAGATATTGCTCATGCAGTGGGAGTTGTTAGCAGGTACATGAATAATCTGGGCAAGGTACACTGGGAAACAGTCAAATGGATCCTCAGATATCTGCGGGGTACCACAAACAAAGCACTTTGTTTCAAAGGTGGAGATACGATACTGACAGGCTATGTAAATGCTGACTTAGCCAGAAATGTTGACATCAGAAGGAGTACTACAGGGTATGTATATACTCTAGGAGGTACTGCAGTGAGTTGGGTTTCTCAACTACAGAAGATAGTTGCTCTCTCCACAACTGAAACAGAATATGTCGCTGTTACGGAAGCCAGTAAGGAGATGGTTTGGCTCTAAAGTTTCTTGGAAGAGTTAGGCAAGAAACAAGAAAACAATGACTTGTATTGCGATAGTCAAAGTGCTATCCATCTAGCAAAGAATCCGTCTTTTCATTCCAGGACAAAGAACATACAATTGCGATATCATTTTATCCGGTCTCTTCTGGAAGATGAGATTTTGAAACTTGAAAAGATTAGTGGAGCTCAAAATCCTGCAGACATGTTGACAAAGACGGTGACCACGGACAAACTGAAGTTGTGTTCAACTTCAGTTGGCATGCTAGAATAACAAGACTAGAAATGTTGCTGCATTGATCGAGGTGTGAAGACAGATTAAAATCAGTCTTCAAGTGGGAGATTGTTGAATATTCAAGTAGCCGACGGCTACTATTAAATCAATGGGGGGGCTACTTATTATTTTATTATTTTGTAATAGGGTTAATTACAAAATTAAATCATTGAACTTTAGGGTATTTACAAAGATTAATCCCTAAGTTTCAACTATAAATACCCTAGCTCATTTAGCTTCAAAATCATCCCAAAATCTTCCAGTTCTCTCTAAAGTGTGTGTCTGTAAACACCTGTAAATTTTCTCTTTAGTAAAAGATCTGCAGCAGTCCGGAGACGTAAGCACAATTGGCTGAACTCCGTTATCAACTTTTCGAGTATTATTTTTTCTCTTTTATTTCGCATTCTCACAAATCTGGTTATAGGGAAATTACTTGTACTCGGTTTATTTCCTAACACTAGGATGCTGTCAACCCCAATTGGAGCCTAATTTCGAAACTTCTGATCCAGGAACGAGTTAAATATTTCTTGTGGATTTCTTTTAGAGATAAGCTCCTATATAATCAAAGTCGTTGGCATCGGAATATTACTGACGACCCATCATGTTCCTTTTGTAATGTTGTTGAAGAATCCTCCATTCATATCCTGAGGGACTGCGTGGAAACAAAGGCTCTCTGGACATCCATTTTGCCACTGAATCGGCTCCGGAACTCTTTTACTCTACCAATTGATGCACGTATTTTATTGAATTTTCAGTCATGTTTCCTTCTTCCAGGTTCTTAGCTTCCATGGAATATCGTATTTTCTTCTCTAGTTTGGCAGATTTGGAAGCGAAGAAATGCTATGATCTTCTCCAGGGAAAACTCAACCAAATGATGCTCTCCTTTGACAAAGCAAAACCTGGGCCTCATACTGTTACTCGACGCTTCTGCAACCGGGTTCGAGCTTTCCCTGTGCTCAAGAATTAATCCAATGGAAGTCTGCTGGCTTTTGTTGGGTTACTCTAAACATTGATGGTTCGGTTTCAGCCTCCTCTTCGGCTAGCTATGCAGGTGGCTTAATCAGAAACCATTATGGTGACTGGTTAATAGGCTTTAATAAAAACATTGGGTTTTCCCAGCTTCTTCATGCTGAGCTCTGGGATATTTTAGAAGGTCTCCTCCTCTCCTAGTCCAATGGCTTTGAAAGAGTACAATGCCAAACTGATTGTTGTGAAGCGATAAATCTTGTTATTTCCTCCTCAGCGCATTTGAGCCCTATTTCTCTTGTCCGAGCTATCGCTAACTTAGTCTCGAAGACTTGGTTTGTAGAATTCATCTTGATCCGGCGTGAAGCGTACTTCTCAGCTGATTTTATGGCAAAGCTATCATCTTCCTCCAATGACTCTACTAGAGTTTTCATGAAACCTCCCACGGGAATTAGCTCTTACTTGCAAAGGGACATTCATGGTCTTCCTTTTCTTAGATTTTATTATTCCAAAAAAAAACCCTGCTCTGCACGTGTGTATTAAATTAAATTATATATGCTTTTGATAGAAGCCTATTAAGATATATTTTTTAAGAGTTAATATTTAATTGATAAAATTATATTATTCTATTTAAGTATTTTTTAAATAAAAAATATTTTTATTAAATAAAAAGATAAGATACAATAAATATAACATAATCCACCATCAAAATTTAAAGAGCATAAAGAAAATAAAATAAAAATTTTCTCTTGAATACATGTTTCATCTTCTAAAATGAACATTGCAACTATCAATAACCTTCATGTTCTTGTTCAAAACTAGGTACAATATTGGTGCAGCTGTGAAGATTGAGAAAACTAATCTAACATATTATCCTGCAAATGATTATGCATGCATAGATAAATTTTTATAAAAAAAATTAACTATGAAAGACTATTGACATTTTCTTATTAGGAATATGAAACGCTCAGTGACGGATCTAAAAGATTAAAAATAGATGTCCAAAATTTTAATATCTATTATTTCAAAATATTGGGTGTACAAATTTTTTATTATTTTATTATTTTTCCTTATCATAATAAATTAATTTCACAATTTTTTCTAAACAATGAGATGCACTTACCTCCTATAAAACTTAGTGCATCCACCCTTAAAAATATTAAACTATCATAATAATAAAGAAAATCATGTCATAAAAATAAATGAATAATCGTGACATAAAAGCATACAAAAAATAAATGCTTTAAGAATATACTAAAAAGGAGACATTAAAACGGAGCGAGCGATGATTTAAATTCAAACAAAAAATTATGAGTAACGAGAATTTATTTGGTTGATTTTTTTTTTATAATTTGAAATTTACTTACCTTTAAACCATTTACTAGAACGAATAAGGTGAGCAGGGTGGGCTACAAATAACGGGCCATAAGGTGATTCATTTTGGGTTTGGCTCAAATAATCCATTCGAATAAACAGAATTGTTTAATCCAAATTCCAAACAACTATAAAAAAAAGTTTGAGTAACGGGGAAACTGGTATGTGAGCCTTTTGTTTGGAACTCCCAGCTGCCTAACCTCATCAAAGATGGTAAACAAACTCTCCTTTTCATATATTTGATCTTCTTGTTATGATTTATTTCGCTGAATTATAATAGAGTTTCGTCCTTTTCATATATTAGTTTCATGATTCGCATTATCATGAATTCTATTATATACTCTTTCTGTGTGTTTGTTCCCGTGATTTGAAATGTCTTTTTGTTCTGTCGTTGATTGAATCCAAGCTTTATGTCTCTTCGTATCCCATTGGATCTGCACCTTGGTTCAAACGTTTGTCTTTTCATCCGTGGTGTATGTATAGACTTACTTAGATCACTGTGTAATTTCTTTTTGAAGTTACAGACATCATCTTAACCACACATCTTTGTTTGTTAAATGGGATAAATAAATTGTTGACTTACCATTTTAAAAATGAACGGTAAATGATTCTTGTTAATTTCTTCTATGAATTACAGATTTTGATGGAAGGGGTTTTCCCGTGTATTGTAATTGCTTCATTTGGATGGTATTTCCGAATTATTATTATATCCAGCTTATTTCCTTATTTCAACTTATTTACTTGAAATTTTCTTCTGATTTCTTATGATATTAAATTATACTCAAACATTTCAGCTCGTGGTTTATTTTGAATGTTCATCGGTTGAACTAGGTTTTGTTAGTTCAAGTGATTTCTATGAAAATATTCTGTTTGCGGTTTTACAATGATAGCTGTGGCGCCTTTACTTGTTATGTCAATTTGCTCCTTTTTTTGTTTCTAGAAATAGTGGGTTGAAACTATTGTTGATATATAACGGAAATGTCATGATGTATGCTTTAATTTTCCAAAAATTTATCAGTGAAGCACCGGCTATAGGATGACTAAGCTAAATGTGGTAATTATAATGACCACAACATTATATATATTTAACATTACGAGCAAGAATTAGGGCTTCTTGAAGATCTGTTAGGACTAGAAATCTTTTATGTTCCTACTGCAAAGTTACACGTTATACGGGGTAACTCTCAGCTCTCATAGTGCTAGCAAAATGCGATATTTAATTCATTTTGCGCTTGATTATCACTGGTAGTACTATTCTGTTTTATTTTACTTCAGAAACTTAAAAACATTGTTGTATTGCTTTAATTTTACTTCAGAAACTTAAAACCAAGCTTCATTTTAGGTTGTTGTATTGCTTCTATCTGGAACCAATTAGCCCTTTTGTGTTTCAGATTCACTTTGTACTTCTAATTAGTCGACAAGGGAAAGTTAGATTGACAAAATGGTATTCTCCTTATTCTCAGAAAGAAAGAACAAAGGTATGGACAATGCATTTGATTCAATTCTGCGTTGTTTATGCTAAGTTTGCACCATAAAGGTCATAGTCTTTATAAGATCCAGGTGCTATTTTTTTTTTCTTTTTCAGCTTTTTGTCTTTAGTATTTTCTTGATGTTCTTTTGAATCTGCTCGTCTTTATGGTATTATGCTTTACGAGAATGCATTTTGTGAAGGTTATCCGTGAGCTTAGTGGACTGATTCTCACAAGAGGGCCAAAACTCTGTAATTTTGTGGAATGGAGAGGACTCAGAGTTGTTTATAAAAGGTAATGCTACAATGTGTTCATTTTACCATGATTTGATTTGACCTTTTCAAAGTTTAGGAACTGTGCTGGGATAAATTATGCAGATATGCTAGTCTTTACTTCTGCATGTGCATTGACGAGGATGACAATGAATTGGAGATTCTAGAAATTATTCATCACTATGTGGAAGTTCTCGATCGATACTTTGGCAGTGTGAGTGAATATTAAACTTGGCCTTTCCTGGGAGTATTAATGGCTCTTTTATATTGACAATTGATTGTGAATTCATTTTATATCCAGGTTTGTGAATTGGACTTGATATATAACTTTCATAAGGTACGTTAGTGTCGTTGAGAGCACAAGATGTACTCTTGGTGCTAGATAATATGGCCTTAGCAAGAATTTAAATAGCGGTCTGCTACCACAATAGCACCCATTATATAGGGGTAGCGGTGCCACAATACTAAATTGCGACTGCGATATCGTGGTTGCGGGTGTTGCGGATGTTGTGGTGGGATTTATTTCCTAAATATAATTATGATTTTATGTTGCGGATGCGGTTTGCGGTGTCGCATTGACCTTGAAAAATGTTACGATGCGGTCGTTACACTGCGTTGCGGCCGCAATTTAATACTACGAGAGGTTCCATCCGAAATCGTTATTGCAAGACCGCGATACCCACAGTCACTGCAATAGGGTCTGCTACGCAGCAATCGTAATAAACGCAATGTAACCGAAAGAGCAACCGCAACCGCAATTTAAATCCTTGGGCCTTAGGCGTGCATTTTTTTTCTAGCGGTAAGACACATATTTTCTTGTGTTCAATTTGTCATTCTGTTCTCATTCTGTACAACTGTTAGCAGAACTTACCATCCCACTCCACTACCTTTCCATTCTTCCCATCCCTTAACACACTATCTGTATCCTCCTTTTCTTCCCTTTATATTTCTTGAAACAATAAACTATTAACTCTCCATGCTCCCATTCCAGGGTATCTCTCCAGTCTCAATCATTTTTAAGAAATTTACCTTATATCTTTCTAAATTGAGTGTGCATAATGCTTGTTATTGAGTGGTTCATATGCCTTTTCTTCTAGACTGGCACCATGAACTTTCTTCCACGTTTCTAATGATTCCCCAAAAAGGGCTTGTGGCTTGTTAACCTTGTTTGAGGAGCAGAATTATGTAGTTGAGAATTGTATTGGTTAGCTGCTTCAATTGGGAATTTCCGAGTCTGGTATATCTAAGAAAAATAATATTTTCTGTTGTTTTTTTAAAACATTTCTTATAAATTTACTCATTGTCCAAAAAGTGTAATACTTGTATTGATTGGCACCTTTATCCTTCAGGTTGCTATGTAGCAATATTTACATGTGGGTTTTTTGGGTTTATCCAAGCAAGTTGTGTGTTATATCAACTTGATTTATGATGGTTTTGTCAGCAAAAGTATTGGTTTCCAAATAATTGCTCTAGTTTTAGAGGAAAATGTGTTTCTGAAAGTAGGATGTACATGTGTAATCCATATATATCGACCCAACTATGTTGTGTTTTTTGTTTACCCTTTTTCTTAAAGACGGAGTTATGTTATTAATGGTCATATCAAAATGTGACAAGTAAACAGCATTGTTATCAGTTGTTATAGAGCACGGATCTGAACTTAGGGTCGTTGCTTAACTGTTTGACATTGAAGGCCTACTTTATATTGGATGAACTCTTGCTTGCTGGTGAACTTCAAGAGTCGGGCAAGAAAACTGTTGCACGTTTAGTGTCTGCACAGGTAAAATATAATTTTTCACTGTCCCATTCTGTTTGTTTTGGTGTAATTCTCAGGGAACAAGTTTGTTGAGTTGTAGGATTCACTGGTGGAAACTGCAAAAGAGCAGGCCAGTTCCATTAGTAATATAATTGCACAGGCCACCAAGTAAGTTTTATACCTGCCCTGCCTTTTGTCTTCGTTGATTTTGGGATATCTGCCAAATTCTTTTCGATTCTTGTTTTGAGAACTGAATTTCTATGTTAGGGAAGTATATTCTGTAAAATGACAGGTATCATACATTTTGGTTTTAAGTATGAATCTGTTGGCTATAAGATTTGAACATGGCAGTTCTAAATAATTATTTATATAATTTATAATATATAAAGCATGATTATACAGGAATGGTCGAAGTTGGTTTACATGAGTCAAACCAAAATTTTCAATGTACTTTTAAGTACATAAATTTTTATTTCACCTTCTTTTAACTATAATAGTTTCTTGTTATTCTAGTCTTAAATCATATGGAGAATAAAATCATGTTTTTATATCTTCACATCTTAATGGCATTACAAGGCTCAATTTGATCCATTTTCTCATTAGTATTATATTTATATATTTTTAAATATCATTTATTTTTAAGAGAAATTGTTTTTTTATGTGCAAATATGATTATTTCGAAACAAAATTTTGTAGCATTAAATTTATCCGGGAGAGCTTTAGTGTAAAGAAAACGAAGAAATCTTAACAGTGATTTATTCTCCAAATAAAACATTTTATTTAGAATACAACTTCACTATGAAAATAATACACAATGGCTATGGGCTATGGGCCTCCAAATGAGTTGGATGAAGACAAAAGGCAACTTCATCCTGAAAACCGCTTTGGAAGCATTTTGTCTGTCGATGTCTGTACCCTCCTCCTCGATGGAACATTAATCAGTACACTATAATCTATAGCTTATCCTGTTGCCAATATTTTGCAACCAAGTTCGGTAAATCTACATGTATATTTTCTTTATCCATAACATCATTTTTACTTATTTCGTAAAAAAATATTATCATCAATAAAAATAATTAAAATCTATTTAGTACTAATTATTTGTAAAACTATCAAATAATGAATAAGTTTTTATGTAGAATTATTCAAAAATAAAATATTGTTTTTTCAAAAAATTATATTTTTTATTTAAATTTAACCTTAAATCTTTAAAAAATAATCAATCTTTTAATAAAATATTAATTAGACCGTTAATTTTTTTAATAATTTTGAACTGAAAATATACATAATAATTCACATATATTTTATGTTAAAATAACATTCTTTATTTCATATTTCATATCAATAAATAATTTAAAATTATTCAAATGTTTAAAAACGTACAACATTCGAGAAAAATGAACTACAAAACAAACTGTTGTGTAAGTATCATAATAATATTAAAATTTTAATATTTTAATTAATATTTATATTAAAAACGATGATTCATTCTCTTTTTTAATGTTGAAGTCAACTTTACTAAAATAAGAAATAAATACGAAATTGATAAAATTTATAACATGAAGAGATAAATTTATTATCGTGTATTTATTTTTTAGAAAATTAACAATATTTGAAGCAATGAAGATTAGTGGGTATGCCAACACAGGAACCTTTAGAAAAGATCCATGTCAACAGAAGTAAGGAGCACCCCATCATCTTCCCAATTTACGTCTTTGGCTTCACTGTCTTTCCTTATTAATTCAAGAGGTACCTCCAATGGCGGTGGACTCTGCAAACCAAAATAATAAAACACAACAATCATTATAGAATACAACAAAAGGAACATCTAAGAATGAAAAACAAAGAACATGTCAGGATTTAAATAACGGTATATTATTAGAATAACAGCCGTTATATAATAGTAAAATGTCATTTGAAATTATTATTTTATAACTGCAATCAGGAATTGACCAAATAGGCAGGTGGCGCCCTCCTAGGAATTTAAAATTACTTTATATTTTAATTTTTTTATGTATTTTCTATTAATAATTTGTTTTCGACCCTTGAAATTTTATAAATTCAAATTCGTCCCATAAGTTCAAGTTTAACCCCTAATATAGAATCATGCGTCCTTCCCTAACTACAATACTCATAATAATCACAATATGATTTGTTATTGTCAAAATTGCTATATATACAACTATAAACACAATCATAACTATGATTTAAATCCCTCCTTGTTAGTGAATGAGAATGTTTTGGATGTATATATGTATTACCATGCAGCGTATTAGAGGCCAATGGATGCCCCGGAAGAAAGGGTGTTCTTTTATTTCATTGGCACCTGTGGTCGATCCCAACCGGCTGCGTGGATCTCGGTTCAACAATGCATTAATCAACTGCCTCGCTCCAAGACTAACCTGCAAAAGTAGCTATGTTTTTAGCTACAACTAGAAAATATATTTTTAGTATCATATTTATCACTTTTATTCCATTTTGATCATTCTACTATTTCTTTTTTAAAATCATATCAAATGTTACATTTTAGTCATATGTTGTTAAAAAAATTAACAAAATTACTGATGTGATATTTTTAAAATTTTTCAATGATGACTTAGCATTACCTTATTGTATGTTAAAATCATAGTTAAATTTTTTAATGGTGGGTGAATAAAATGAAACCAAAACTAAACGTTAGATATGATTTTGAAAGAAAAAAATTGGCGAGTGAACTAAAATGGAACAAAAATGATAGTTGACCAAAAATTTAAATACTAAGATTGGGGTAGAGATATTACGGGGATGCTGCTTTGGAAGGTGAGGTCCTTGTGCAAGATGTTGGAGAATGTCTTCTGCCTGTTTTTACCTCTGAAAGGCGTACGCCCGTACAGCATCTCATACAGCAAAATACCTATATAGTTCCATCAATGTACACGTGAATGCAGTTTCAAAATAACAAGTTATGTCTTCACCCTCTATACTATGCTGTACTTACCCATTGCCCACCAATCGATTGCACTACTGTGTCCAGCACCTGTAATGATTTCCTGTAAAATCTAACCATGTTTTAACACTACAAGTAAGGACTAAACATTATTTTGCTTCGAAACTCTTTCTTTTTCCGGTACTCATCGTGTTCGATCGAAATCGAATACTGCATACCGGAGCAATGTATTCTTCAGTTCCAACAAATGAATTGGACTGCGTGGTTGGTTCTGCAACAAACGTTGGAGGAGGTTGATTCTTGGATCTCCTCTTCTTAGGCAAGGGCTGCTTTAAAACCTGTAAAAACCATCATCACCTTCAATTCCATGCAAAAACTATATAATATGTTATCAAATGCCCCATATATCCAAATTCTAACCCAGAATTGACAACAGACATACCTGGGGCTTGCAGGGAGTCATAAATGATAAATCAAAGTCTGTTAACACAACATGTCCATCTTTCTGCAGTAGAATATTTTCCGGCTTCAGATCTCGATATATGATCCCTATCACAAGCCATTACAAATGAAACCACAGTCAGCATTGTATTAGATCACAGTTGCTAAATCTTGCATAGAGGCATTGTTCGATTCGATTTTTGTGAGTTGAATAAGTTTTCAAAATTTAGATAGTAGATTTACTATACATACCTAGACAATGAAGATACTCCAGACCAATGACAACCTCTGCTGCATAAAACCTGAAAAAACAACGTGAACTTAGACAACCTCTGCTGCATAAGAATTGAACATACAAGAAATACCAGATATCCCACTGATTTTGACTAGAGGAAATAAGGGTAATAGGCCAGTGAGAATTAGGTGTACCTTGCAGAATCTTCTTTGAATAATTTCATAGGCTGTTTGTCGAGCAAGTTAAATAACTCGCCACCAGGGCAAAAGTCCGTTATCAAACAAACGTGTGTGGGAGTCTGAGGAGATCAAGAAATCATTAGTGGTACTCAATTACAACTTAAGAATCCAGAAAACTTGTAAACTACAGGATAAGCTAAGAATTTGAACAGGAAAACCTGAAAAGAGGTGTATAAAGAGGGAAGGAAAGGATGATCCAAGAGTGAGCTGATTTCCCTTTCAACGCATGCTCGATGAACCTGTACAATTGCTTACATCAATATTCATATACATAATCCAACCCGGATTCGAGATGAGTATTTATATGTAGAAATTATGCAATACGCAGACCTTGTTACGGTTCAACATCACGGACTTCTCCATTGCCTTCATAGCAAATAATTCTCCAGTACCTTTCAGTTCCACCAGATGGACACTGCAACCCAATTTAGATTAGACAGGGAAATGAAGTAAGAATTCATGGCATAACTAATGATTTGAGGTAAAAGCAAACAGTGGCATGAAGGACCTACCCTACCTGCCAGTGTCACCCCAGCCTAAAGGTTTTATGGGTTTAAAATGATGCAGCCCGATTTTTTCGCCACGAGAAGTGATCTGTATTACATATAGAATATCAGAGACCACATCCAAGAAGAAATAATGAGTTGAGAAAATGGAAAAAGGGGTACCTTCTGAATTTCTAGCCAAGAAGGACTCTCTCTTTTATGAGGCCTTGGGAAGACTGGTTGAGAATGGATTGCCCACAAATCTTCTGGTCTCTGCACATTTTATCAATATATATATAAAGTCTCATCAACTATGATCATATTAGACAGTATTAACACTATTAACAACGTTAATTAAGACAATGTTAACAATATTAACAACGATAATTAACAACGTAAACACTTAGATTTTGAGTTCTCAGTCCAATTGGAAAAACATATTTGTTACCTTTACATCTATAATTAAGACAATGCTCTAAATATTTCTACGAGAAAGAAAGAATACCTTACCAAATTGGCATCAGGAAGTTCGCGAACTGCTTCATCGACATTTTCTGCTGTGGCTTTGACCTGTTTAAAGAAAATGATATCCTAGTTCAGCATCGACCATATGTTACGAAAAAATAAGAGTCTATAGGGCAGGCATTTCCAATATGTATATAATTAGAAGAAGAAAATGATTACAGACCAACTTTGCACTTTGTAGCTCTGTCTGCTCGGAGAGGCGGTTTCGTAGGGGTTCGACATGATCACTTCCATCAAGTTGGACGCCTATGAAATATTGAAGCTCACCCTGTAATCACCGGGAATTTGTCACCGAGGAGAATAACTAAAACACAACATTAAAAAAAAATCACGCGAAAATGTGAAAAGCATCATGTCATGTAAAGAAAACACAAACATGACATAGATACATGGCTTGCCAGATGTAACTGTAACCACCTTGTGGTCACGCATA